CCCCCGGGATGTTACCCCCCCGCCCACCCCACACCTCCAAGGCAGCGATGCTGTGAGCTCAGCCATGATGCCACCCCAGGGGCAGACGGCCAATGGGCCAACATGGTACCAGGCCCAAGGAGCTGAGATGGCTCATCCGTGGCCACCCCGGAGCCGAGAACTCTGGGACCTGTCAGATGCAGGGACCCTGTCCCACAGAGCATGGGGCCAGGGCTCCTAGCACGGCCCTGCTGCGATTTCACATTTTGCCAACCCAGAAGGAGCCCATCCCTTGGCTCCCCACAGGGCTTGCTCCACAGGCAGCAGCGTGGGTGACAAAGGAGGCAAAAATGTCACCCGCTGCTCCATGACGCCCCTGCTCGCCAGGGGCACCTGCCTCCCGTGGCACCACGGCTTGTGGGGTAACCATGGAGGAGTGGCCCCAGGAGGGGGGACATCCTCTCGCCTCCCGCCGCCATCCTCACCAGTGAAGCCTGCCTGCCAGGCGTGGAGCCAGCGCCTCGCACGGAGCCAGGCGGCAGCAGGGGCTGCATTGGGTGCCTGTGTCCGTGGGGCATCCCACACAGGGATACCCCAACTCGCTTTTGGGTTTTTGCCAGGAGGGGTGGGCTCCTTTCTCCTGTATTATTTTAGCAATAATCCCAGCAGCAAGGAAGATTTATGGCATTCGTCGGCCTCTCTGCAAAATCATCAATAAAGACAGACAATACAATTTACTCAAACCTCCCTGGAAGCTCAACGGCTCCAGAGGGGAAAACACGGGCAGCCATTAACGTTACGGAGCCGGGTGCCTCTCTGCAGTGCAAAGAAAAGGAACCAATTAATACGGGAGGGGGTGGCTGGGGCTTAATCCTTCTGGGAGAGCAGAGTCAGTAAAATATTCCAGCTCAGGGAAGGCGTTAGTTTTTCCAGCTAGACAGGTGTGCTGTTATCCACTTAATTGCACAGTTCCACTTTCCAGAGGAGGAAGAGACACTGAGGGTTTGCTCGGGGGCTTCCCAGCCCCGGGTGGGCAGGGGGGAAATGGCAAGCTCCCCCAGGAACGTCAGCCCTTCGTCAGACAAGATGAGCTGTGGGCCAGCTGGCCCGGCCAGCCCAAGCCCGGAGAATGCCGGAGCACCCTCCCAGCTTGCTGCTGCTCCTCCGGGTTTGAAACAAGAGGAATGTCCCCATGGTGCTACCGTTGCAGTGGGAGCTTCCCCGGTGATGGCTTCGGTGTGAGCCATGCTCTCACGGAACGGCAAGGCCCCACTTAGTGCCAGGCTGGCAGCAGAAGGATGGACAGACACCAGAGGACTGCGTGGCATCCCCTCACCTCCATCCCAGAGCACCAGGGGAAGGAAAAGCCATCCCTTCTCCCTTCCCTACCAAATCCCCCTCCTCCCCTGGCACTCCACCGCTGTTCCCCACCATCAGCAGACCCCAGGGGACCTCCATGGACCACCAGAGCAGGTGGGGAACCCCCACGAGATCCAAATGCCCCTCATCCGCAGACCACCCCGACAAAAGCCAGGGGAGCTGCCACTGTGAGCGCCAGCCCAGGGATCCTCTCCCCCTCCCCGCCCCATGCATGGCCCACGCTTTATTTACCGCATACTGTTTCCCACCCTGATGGCAAGACAGAACTATTAATTTCCTCACCAGCTTTTCTGCAGTGCACATCACCACAGCACTGAGCGCTTTGCAAACAATAATTAATTAACCTCTGCAGCCCACTTTGTACACCCAGGGGAATTTGCTCATCCCCTTTATTCCAGGGGGAGAGACGCTAAAATGGGACTCACTCCGAGGTGGTAGCCGCGCTTTCCAACATGAGCCTCCGGAATGCCCATGGGCCAGGGCACAGCTCTCTCTATCACCTTGAGCTTGGAGTTTCATTGTTTGAAGCGGTGCTCAGCGTTTGAAGACCTCACTGAGGACAGGCCCGACCTTCAGGATGGGGAGGACAGGCTCATCAGGTTGGTCCTCGGACATGCTTCGGCCAATGGTCTCTGTTCATTCAGCCCAGAGGTTGGCTGGGCAACTGGGCTACGAGAGCCTGCCGTGATGGAAAGGTGGCTGGAGCCTCACCAAGTGCTCAAGTGCAAGAAGGGCAAGGGAAGGGATAGCTGAGAGGCCGTGCGAGATCTCTGGGCTCAGCCAGGGCAGGGTGATGCCCTGCGAGCACCGACCCTCACCCACCCGCAGAGGATGGCTCTGGCACTCAACCAACAGCACCATGCTCCCTTGGGACCGGGGAGGGCTCCAGGGGGGAGCAGGGATTTTTTCTGCAAGGACAAGTCGTGACCTGGTTACACTACTCGCTTCGAGACAAGGCAAAAGCTTTGCCTGCACTTGAAGCTGCCATTACCAGTTCCCCAGCTGAACCCTCCAGGGTCCGAGAAATGACAATGGCTGTTTGCCAGAGGAAGGATGGGGTCCCTGCAGTGTACCCGGGCTCTCAGTCAGACTTTGGCTCTGCTTTTTAGGCTGGTGGGTCCCAAAGTGCCTCCTGGCCGGGAGGGGTAAAAGCCCAGCTGAGTCTTTTGAGGCTGAGAGGAGGCAGGAACAGCCTCTGCAATGACAGCCATAGGAGAGGGAGGTGACATCCCTCCTGCTGTTTCCAAAGCTGGCAGCATCCTTGTGCCCCAGCGCCTGTGTCCCCAAAGCCAGTGGCATGAGCTGTTCCCACGCTGAGCACTGGGCAAAGCACAGGGGCCAGGCAAGGATGGATGGCAAGGAGCATCACTGCAGGCAGAGATGGGCATGGGAGGGATGGGACACTCAACAGGCACAGCTGTGGCCAGGAGGGTCCTCCCGTGGTGTGCAAAGAGTGTGACAGGCATCGGCACGGACACGGTGTCACATCACATCTCCACGCCCTGCCGGGAAGGTCACAACTCTTTGTTGTCAGTGCTGGCCTTCATCATTGAGGTTTCTTCCCTAATCCCAAATACCTTGTAGGAGCTGGAGAGATGCTGCCAAGGGATATAAGCAGGTCTTGGAAAAACAACCTCTCGCTACCTGCTTTCCTTCTGGGACAATAGCAGCCATCGCCCCCAAAGTCAGCAGGAGATGTTTAGGGGATACAGAGGAGGCAGCAGGTGACGTTTCCAGCAGTGTGTGGAGGGCAGGGCAGAGGGAGAGCACCACAGATTATTATTAACTTGGCCTCGTGGCTCATGAGATGACAAGCTGAGGACTGTAATAGCTGTTCAAGGCAGGACTTGGTGACAAAAGCCCAAGCGTGGATAACAAATGCCGGAGAGGAGGAGAAAAAGAGAAGGAACAGGGGGAAAAAAATCCTCAACAACAAAAATAATCCCAAAACGTGTTGTGCACAACACCCAGTGGAGATTTCTAAAAACAGCTTGTGCGAAGTTATTTTAATCTCACTTTTGACAAGCGAGCGTGTGTGAGAGCGAAGGGAGCGCACAGGGATTATACCCGGGACCAAGGCTTTGGCGCGGCGCCACAGGCAGGGGCACGATGCTGGGACACAATCCTGAGCAGGAGGAGCTGTGGAGAGAGCCCTCACCACGCATCATGGGCATCGGCAGAGTGCTGCCCTTCAAAATGAAGCCTGCGGGGTTCCTGCTGCGGCCAGGTCGTGGTGCAAACCCTGGTGTGGCAAAGGACGGGATGGGAAACACATTGGTGCTCAGCCCAGGCTCCAGCAAGGAGAACCTCGCAGAGCAGGAGGGGAAAGGCAGAGTAGTCTCTGGGGCTGCTGGAAAGTGAGCAGATGTGCGATGACGAGGACAAATTGATAAGAACACCCAATAGGATGGGGAAAGCAGAGCTGGGAGGGGTTATAAGACAAATTAACCTTCTTACGATAGGAGCTGGGGGAGAAGGCAGGCAGTCAGTGAAAGCCCATGAATGCCCGTCCCAGACGGGAGCCAAGCAGGGGGCAGGGAAGCTGAGGACAGGAGAGGTGGCTGTGACAGCAGCCCAGGTAGTGCAGGGACCTCAACAACCCTTGACTTGTTCCTGCAAGAGCGCATGGGACTCAACAGCCTCTCTGCGCAGAACTGAGACTTTTCCAGATGTACAAGACCAAGCAGAAGAGATTTCACCTCCCCGGCACAGGGAACAAGCTCTGCCCACAGTGATTCAATTCACAGACCACAAAAACACGAGCACACACAGGCTTTCCGCCGGGCGGAGCCACCAAGGTGCCACAAGTAGGCACCGAGGCAGCCAGCCAGGATCTCTTCAACGACTCCACCACTGGCACTGGGTGAGTGGGGTTTCAGCTGCATCCCCATCCCCACGTGGGTGCCACGGAGGGGAGCCAGGTGGCACCTTGTGGCATCTCATGGGACGAAGACACTCCTGACCGCCGCATTTGGAGCTCACTCGGAGCTGCGCAGACTCAGGTACAGAAAGGGTCCGTGTGCCCCACTGCCCTCCAACCCAGCCCAAACGGCTCCTGTCCTGTCCCCTCCCACGTGCTGAATGAAGCAATTCATTATCACACACCGGGTGTCTCCTGATGAATGAATCGGGAGGAATCGCAAACCACTTTTGGCTACTCCACACATGGAAAAAGGAGATGCTCTCGGGTGAGAATTACTCACTCTGCTCCAGTTACCTTACAATTCATTCTTCAAGCGAAATTTCATCCCACCATCAATATGTCAGCAGCCAGCTGGAGATCCTCACAACCCTGCGTTCCTGCTAACTCAAGGCAAGACCCAGCTCTGGGTTGGAGGCAATGGGACCACTCCCCACACTACCCGCAAACACTCCAGAGGCCCCCAGTCTCGCTCCACCCGCGCGCGGTCCCCATCCTCCTCCGGCACTGGATATTTAACAGACATTGCCTCCCTTGCTGATCCTGGGAACACCCACCAGGGACTCCCATGCACACTGTGGAGCAGCCACCCATTGGGCCAGCTCCTCTTGAATGGGTTTACTCCTTCCCAGGATTGTTTCTCTTCCCAGATCAGCTCATTTTCAAGAAGCTTAAGAATGTTTAAAAAAATGCAGGTTAATGATGCCTCCGCCTCCTTTTTCACATCCTTGCAACAGCCTAACAGAGTCAGAGAAGCTCCTCTCTCTTGCAGGGACCTCACCCTTTTGGGTCTGTCAACCCAGGGCACATCCACAGGGACCTGCAGTGGCCAGGCAGTGCCCGCACAGCCTCCCCACGCACCACCTCCAGCACTTCTGCCTCTGGAAGCACATTCCCACTTGATTTCCCACTGCAGGGGCTTGGCTTCGGGTGCCATTCTGCTGCCACTCTCGTGACACAGGCACAAGGCTCGAAGCCCTTGCAGGGATAGTGCCGCCTGCCCAGGGTCAGGAACCATTGCCAGAGCTGGGCAGCCGACACCCCCTCCCAGGGCTCACGGCAGCCTTCCTGCCCCTCTGCTCTGCCCCATCTGGAGTACTGTGTCCAGTTCTGGGCTCCCCAGTTCAAGGACAGGGAACTGCTGGAGAGGGGACAGCAGAGGCTACGAAGATGCTGAGGGGCCTGGAGCATCTCCCTTACGAGGAGAGGCTGAGGGACTTGGGTCTTTTTAGTCTGGAGAAGAGAAGGCTGAGGGGGGACCTGATCAATGCTTGTAAATACTTAAAGGGTGGGTGTCAAGAAGATGGAGCTGGGCTTTTTTCAGTGGTGCCCAGGGACAGGACAAGAGGAAATGGGCACAAACTTGAATATAAGAAGTTCCACCTAAACATGAGGAGGAACTTCTTTCCTGTGAGGGTGGCAGAGCCCTGGAAGAGGCTGCCCAGGGAGGTGGTGGAGCCTCCTTCTCTGGAGACATTCAAACCCCCCTGGACATGTTCCTGTGCAACCTGCTCTGGGTGGCCCTGCTCTGGCAGGGGGTTGGACTGGGTGATCTCCAGAGGTCCCTTCCAACCCCATGTAATTCTGTGAGTCTGTGAACCTTCTGGGAAAGCTCCTGGCTGGAAAAGTAGAGGACAAAGATGGCCACAAGTGGCAAAACCCCACCCACAGCACAATCCTGGCCTCAAAATTTGCACAGGAGTTTGGCAACCATTTGACACTCGAAAGCCCAGGCTGACAGGCAGCAACACAACACCCAGGACAGCTCCAGCTGCACGCACAGCCCTGAGAGAGCACAACTCGCACCCTCAGCCTGGACATCTGGAGCACACCAGAAACCAGTCGCGAGGCTGGAAACCTCCCAGTAACACATGGACCCTTCTTGCCCAACCCGATGGATGTGTTGCTTTGCCAGCACCTCAGAGGAGGCAGGGCATGGCACACGGGCAAGGGCAGAGTAAGGTGGACGTTGGATGGGGAAAGCTGGACATGTCCAGATCTGGCTCAAACTCCCAGTTGCTCCAGTTTTCCAGGTCAAGCCCAGCGGAGCTGCAAGCCAAGGTGCAGAGACACGGCCAGTACGGATCACCCTTACCAAAACACACTTTCCTGGCTCCAGGCTCCAGAGGGAACTCTCAGTGTTGATTTTGTGGGTGAGTTTCCCTTCCATGAGGACACGTTGGCTGCTCCCTTCCAGCACAGCCACACGAATTGTGCTGTTGCTGATATCCACAGACACCTGGAGACACAGAGAGAGAGAAAATAATCAGGGAAGTTCCTGCTCGCCCTCTTGCTGTGTTAGTTGGGGTGTGGGGTCAAGTGCACTTGCTGGGGATGAGAGAAGAGCTTTCAGACTAGCATGTAGCAGGAGGGTGGGAATCCCGCTGTCATTTCAGAGCAAACAGCAACAGTTCGGAGGAGAAGGGAAAGCTCTCCGGGGAAGAGAAGGCAGCAGGGCCCAGCAGACGGAGCCCTAGGAAGGATTTGAGGCAGTTGGTTCTGCCACTATGACTGCCCTGTGCCTCAGTTTCCCCACAGAGAAAACCAGCAATGCCACAAGCCTCCTCCATACAGTGCTCAAAGGCTGGACACCCACTTGCTGTGACTGAGCTGTTCGGAGCACAGCGGGTGCCTGGCCATCACTGTGATGAGCTGGGAATGGGGAGCTGATCCTGGGAGCTGAGCACTCCCCTGCTGAGCTGGAGTGATTTGGGGATTTCTACACCAGGAAGGGCTGCAGCAGCTCGTCCCCCGTCTGTACTGCACCAAAAGCATGTTCCTTGGCTTCACTTCTGCCACCAGAGCCAGCGTTGGGCCCAGCCCAGGCCTCCCGTCGGGTGTGCGAGGAGGGACCGCGTGCGGGAGGGCTGCTGCAGCACGGCTGCCCTGTTCCCCGCTGTGGGGACAGGGAACGAGGCAGCTCCGTCCCCAGGAACAGGGCCAGCTCCCGCCCACAGCAGCCATATGGGGAACCCTGCTCCGACCTGCCGCGGAGGTGACATGGCTCTCCCCCGGGGAGACAGAGGCAGACTGCGACTTCATTGCGCTGCATGCAGTACCTCAGTCTACGGAGAGACCATATGCTCTCTGCTTTCCCCTTCGGCCCCGAGCTGCCGCCAGCAGAGCACGAGTCAGGCCGGGGAACTAAGGGAGGACCTGGCCGGGAAGGGGCAGTTTGTGGTCCCTGGTGCAGCCCCGTTCTCTGGCCTGAGAGGAGGAGACTGCGGTGAGATTTGCCTGCATTCTCTCCCAGAGTTCCCCCAGATCTTCCTCCCGCTCTGCAGATCTCATTTGAAATGTTATTACATTATCCATTACCTAGGAGATTTCCAGTGGCTCACTAGCTCCACGCAGGCAAGAGACAGGCAAAGCTGCTCCAGCCGGGGAGGGCACCGCGGCTGCGTCTGATCAGATAAAGATCAGATAAAGATCAGATAAAGATCCACCCAGATAAAGCCCCCAGACCTGCTGGGCGTGATGGGGAGCTGCCAGGGCTTCGACCGGAACAGAGGCCCTGCACACACAGCACAGGGGACATCGGGACCGAGTTCTGATGCTCTGGCTGGCAGCAGAACCATGGTCACAGGGGATCAGGGAAGGGACGTGAGCTCTGGCTCTGCTGGATGGGAGAGGACGCCTGACTTTCACCCGGCACGTGGCTGCGGGCAGCCTCTGCAAAAGCAGCTCCTCCTGGATGGGAAACATCTCCGGAGAGGCTGCAGCACGGAGCAGCTTCCTCCAGCCAGGGCTGAGGCCTCTCTGCCACCACCGACTGCCCTAGTCCCAGGGCGCAAGGACAGGGCTGCTAGTGCCACGCTCCCAGTGTGGCACAGGGCCTGCCCAGAAAGGGACAAAGGGAAGAAAGCAAGGTGACCCTCAAGTCAGCTTCTGGGACGGCCTCTTTAGGGCATGGAGGGACAGGGAGGCTGGAGATACGGAAGGCACAGAGGCAGCATCATGGCTGTAGGATCCACAGTCAAATGCGAGAGGGGTTTTATTCCAAGGTGGCTGAGGGATGTGCTCAAGGTGGCTCTGGGACCAGGAGAGCATTAGGAGAGGGAGTGGAGAAACCCAAATGGAAGAAGAGATCCAAACCTGGCAGCCTTATCCCAGCCACTTCCCTGCGCAACCAGCCAGCATGAGAGACCATCACAACACCTGCTTCTACCTCCAGCCAACAAAAAGACCTCTCTTGGCATGGCATCCCACTGGGAGTGGTGACAGGGGACAGGAGCATGCACTGCCAGAGAGCCCTGACGCTCCTTGCACGGAGAGAAATGTCTGGGAGGACTCGTGTGTGTGTGATGGTGCCCAGAAAACACAGGGTTTGGTGCATGTGGGCAGCAGCTTCTTCTTGGGCCTTGGTGGAAAAACCACCTCTGCTTGGCACCCCCACTCTGCCAGGGAGGGCAGCAGGGCTCTGCGGGGGGCTGCCCTTCCTCCCCCCCGCCACCTCCCCCCGCACCGCGCTGCGCTTGAGGCACACACACAGCGCCGGCACAACTGGGGTTTGACAGAACCGGGCACAGAGAGCAGCTCGGGGAAGCCGAGCGATCCCTCGGGAAACATGCTGTCCTGACAGTGAAGCCACCAGGAGGGGCATGCTGGAGGCTCCAAGGCTGCTTGTCCCCCCACCACGCGCGCCTGACGAGCACCTCTGCCCCCCAAAACACCTGGCTTTGCCAGCACTCCCAAGGAAACCCAGATCTCAGCTCTCTGCCGTGGCTTTCCACCACAGTAATTTCTGTGCACACTAAAACACCCACGCCCGCCCATGCAAATCAAACAAGCAAACACAAACCCATGAAGGAATCTAGCTCATCTCCTCTGAGCCAGGCAAAAAGAGAGGCTTGTTGTCATTATCTCTATTTAAGTGCTCGGGAAGCGCTCGGATCCATGGGCCCCTGTTGCGCCTGTAAGTAGATCAGAGAGGTGGAGACCACAGAAGAAGATGCTCCCACCTACCCCATCGCCCATTCCTGCTCCACGGACACTTTTTTGGAGCTCCATACAAGGAAACCTTAAGCTCGCCTGAGTGAAAATGTGCCATAGCAACAGCTTGAATCCAAATAAGTGTCATAAGGAGGATTTTGAGCAGCATTAGAGCCGGGCACGCTCTGAGCCCGGGGACCAACCAGGGGAATTTTTAATCTCACCTTGGCAGGCAGAAGCCAAAAGCCTGATCATTTTTAAAAAAGACAAAGCTGTGTGGTGAATGTAGGGGAACGCTGCTCTTTTGCAGGAACCCATCAACAAGGTGTCCAAAGTCCATCAAGCTTTAAAATGGCTCTGAACCATCCTGCTTTGGCCTGTCACCCAGCCGTTCTGCTTCTAACCCCCCGAGGCTGGAAGGGATTTAAAGAATTACTTCGAAGTGAACACTCGGCTGCCAAGAGTAGCCCCAGGAGGGATGTACGAACCAAATACAAGGAGACACCTGGCAAGAATAAGGAAAGTCCATCTCAACAATCGATTGTCCCGAGAGGGCAGCGCTGGCAGGAACCAGGTCAAGGGCAGGCAGAGCCACACCACAGGCAACAGCACGGCAAGGAGCTGCCCTGATAATCACCCCAATAATCACCCCACAGCCAGGCAGGGGCTCTTCTGCAGCGACAGCACAGTCTTGAGTTGAGGAAAGGTCGCGTCCCAGCTCCTATAGGCACCTGCAAGACCCCCATGCCTCTGGGTGGCAAAGATGGGGTGGACAAAACCTGATGCTCTTTTTTTTTGGCGAGGACACAACTCCCCTGGCACAAAGGGCACTTCCCTGGGCAGGGAGAGGCATCGTGACCGCAATATGATGCAGTGGGATGGAACATCCGTCTGGATGCCCCCGAATCATTCCAAGAAACAGCCTGGGTTTGTTTTACAGACCCACTGGGAGAGATGCATCTCCTGATCCTCCTGCTGTCCCCATGGCAGCCATTTGCTCCCTCACCCCTCCGGTCTGGGTTGCTGCTGCCAATTACACTCTTCTGGCATGATCAGGAGCTGTGTAGGCTGGAGCCAGTGAACAAACCCAAGCGTGCTCATTTCAGCCGCCCTGGAAGCAGAGGAGAATGAGAGGTGGGGGAGCACGGATTTCCCAAATGGAAAAATACAGAACTAGCCATGGGGAGGGCAGGACTTGGGAAAGCCAGGAGAACTCACACTTCTGGGTCCAACTAACACCAGCCACGGGCACACTCCTCTCAAGTCCCTCTCCAGGAGAGAACAGAAGTGGCGAAGGAAAAAGAACATGACCGCTTGTGTCCAGGAGCAGAGAAGAAAAGTTCCTCCCTGAGCCAAGGAGGGAGGTGAGACCCCCCCGTGCCCACACAGGCAGTCAGGGAGAGGGAGCCGCTCACCTGCACCCCAGCGCCAGCTCCCTTCCCCCCAGAGCAGGTCAGGTCTCACATGGGCTGTGCCTGCTCCAGTTCCCAAGTGCCAGAGGAGTCGTTCCAGCAGCTCCCACTTGCAGGAGACACTCCAAGCCAGAGAGAGCAACAGGGAAGGAGCATCCATTTCCAGGCAGGCTCAGAAACCCGCGTGCGAGTTTGCAGTCAGTGGAAGTGGAGAGAAAAAGTGCAGAAAGTGCCATGCGGCGCCAGGGAACCCCGCTGGGGCTGGAGCAACAGGACACTGCAGTCACAATGGGAACGTGGCCAGGCTGGGACCGTCAGTCCCCACCAGCCACACACCCAACACCAGACAATGACACCCAACACCAGAGAAAAAGGCATGTTTGCATCCTGCTCCTTGAGTACGAAGGACAAGGAGCCTTCCTGCTTCAAACAGAGCTTCCCAGGAAAGCTAAGCACCCCAAGGGAAAGGGAAATGCTGAAAAACACACCATTAGCACCACTTTACCTGTTTGCCTTTTACAATGTGCTTGGGCACAGGCACTTTAATCTCCAGGTCACTGAAGTCTTGGGACCAGGTGTAATTCTCTCGCACAGCCCCATTGTAGCTGTCGGGGTTTGTCTGGAACTGCTCCTGCCTCCTGGGGGAGAAGAAAGGGGTGACATGCTCAGTGTTGGCGAGATCAGAGTCTGGAGAGAGAAGGAAGCTTGAGAGCAGGGTGCAAGAAGCAGAAAGGGAGGGCAGAGCCTCTGCCTCGCCACCATTCAGGCTGGATGCCTGGTCTCTCCCTTGCTGCTGGCCTTCTTGAGGAAGGGCGAAGGCTGAGGGTGGCAGCCTCAGAGCGACCCCAGCCACCCTGCCTGTTGTGGGTGACCTGTACACCCCTCTCCCAGTGTGCCGCAAGGGAAGTCAGGCTGCTAATGGGACAACCAGTGAGACACATGATAATTTGGCTGCCCAAAAGGTGCAGAGCTGGCCCCCAGCTGGCTTGGGGCGCCTTTCAGGCTAACTCCGCTCGAGCGCAGAGCTCTTCTTCCCCTCTAACTCCTGTCACAGCTGAAGTGGGGGACACCACTGCTCACTGGAGGGTGCGTGCTGACTCCTGGGCCACTGCCGTGGCTGCAGAGGTGGTGGCCCATCACTGTGACCTGGGTTCACCAAGAAAAAACAGAACTGGTCATCCCTCTGATTTTAGCATGTTTGGGAAAACCACCAGCTGTGATGACCGGGGCAGCTGCTGACACAGAGGTGATGGAGTTGCGGAGCCAGCTCAGCACGGCACTGGAAGGGGGCAACTGGACAAGCGGATCACAAGCAACACCTTAAGCAAAACACAACCACTTCCAGCTGCGGAAATCTCAGAAGGATGAGGAGGTGATTGTAATGGGATTTATCAGAACAATAAGCAATAATCAATACAGCATTTCCAGCCAAGAAAGGAGATCTCCACCGTACCCGTGTCCCTTTAAACTGCTGGCAGGTGGAGGATCTATTCCATCGAAACCTCCCAGAGAAGGCTTTCAAATAAAATAAAATCTCTTTCTAAAGATAGCTGCGGTGCTAACAAAAGGCAGAGTTATTTTAAAATGTTTTGATACGCACCTAGTCCTCAATGTGGAGCTGTATAAACATCAGGCTGCAGCGAGTTACATAAAGGGGGGGCCAGTGAGAGTGGCCCCGGAGGGCAGCCAGCCCTGGGTACTGCATCCCCTTGTGCCCTGCTGCCTTCCCAACACCCCCACACCAAGGGGCCCTCGCTAGCACCGGGCGGGGGTGGCTCCCAGCAGAGCGGTGCCCTAAGAATTATGTAAGATCCATTGATTTTAATTAAATTAGGCTCTCAGACGACCATTGGGTGTTGCGGAAGGGGCTGTGCATACATCCTCCCCCCACTTTTTTTTTCCCCTTGATGGTTTCATGGGGGTTTTCCTGCCCTGTTACAACAACCCACGCCCTGGGGCGGTTTTGATCTGGTTCCCCGGGCGGCGCAGGCAGCACCAGCGGCTGGCAGAGGCCATGGGCTCCCAGACTCAGGCCAGCGATTTCAGGGGGCACTGCATCACTTTTTTTGGGCATCTTGGCCTTGCCTGGCGGGCGCCCATTGGGTGCCCATTGCCATGGAAACAGGGTTGGCATGGCAGCACCGAACCAGTGCTGGCGCGGGTTGGCTCCAGCTGTCGGTTTCCCAACCGCCCCCGAACTGAAGGAGTCGACCAGGCTGGAGGGCGAGAGGGGGAACAGTGCAGGCAACCGGGGTCTGCAGGGCCCTCCTCACACCCCGAGGGAAGCAAAGGGGTTGAAACGAGGTGGCACATCCTCTGAGCATCGTCTTGTGTGTATCCCCAGGTCCTCCCCCAGAGCCGGCCCAGCAGTGGCACCTGGGCAGGATCATCCCAGTGCCCATCCTGCACAAACCCTGCCAGAGAGGAGAGACATCTCTCTCCCGGTTGAGGATCCATGCTCTGCCTGGTTAAGTGCCCTCGAAGGACGTGTCGGGGTCTGCCTGGGCACAGCACAAGCCTGTGAGGCTTCTGGCCTCAGGCTGTAGCAAGAGCGTACGTGGCCACACAGGGGACCGGAGCACAAACCTGAGCAGGGTTTAAAACCTGCTTGGTTTTTCCTTCCTAGGAGAACATTTCCTTCTAATCAGTGTGGACCTGAGCTGCGTGGCAGAGCTCACCATGCTCCTTCCCAGCGAGACACCATAGGGAAGGCATGTCGGGTGGCAGTCACCAAGCATCATCACCTCCCTGAGAACAAGCGGAGAACCAGACAAGAACCAGAAAATGGCTATTTACTTCCAGGTCTTCCTCCCCCTCGGCCTTTCCCAGGAAAACCTTGAAGGCTGAAGAGGGAGGCGGCAAGCCCGTGCCCAGGCCAAGGAGGTTAGAGCAGATGCAGAGCATCAGAAATGGGAGAAAACCTATCGGAGCAAAGGCAAGTGTGGGTGACACCAGCTGCAAATGCCTCATGGCCACTGCAGACAAATAGAGTCCTGGAGCAGCTGCTCACTGCCACAAAGCCACCAGGTCCGTCCTTGTGTCTCTTCCTTGGGAGGAAAAGGCTCGGGCTGAGCAGACCCTGGCCAAGCACATCCTGGACGTTTTATCCCTCCCAAGAGCTCATCGAGCGTGATTTCATTGTCCTGTGAGGGCACAAGTGGCTTCATGGCAGCCCCAGGAGACATCAGAGTTAATTGGGTTACTTCCACAGGGAAGCGAGGCAGAACATGCTCTGCAATGACTCTGTCGAGCTTCTCTTTACATGGACTCACTACTGAACGAGGGAAAGCAGTCTTCCTTCCAGCCCTGACCCTTCCTTCCAGCCCCCACAGGACAGCTCTGTCGTCCCACCCCCGACTGTCCCCCATGGGACAGCTCTGTCCTTGCTCCCTCTGCACCGTAAGGAGAGACGGGGGACAGGGGGACGTTTCACAGCCACCTCTGCTGCCCTGCCTCGTCCTCACCGCCCTCCTGGGCTGGCCGGACAACACGTGCGCCAGACAAACCATCCCTGTCCTCGGGCAGCTTCAGCGCGGAGAAGTTTCCCCTCGTGCCTAAACCTGCCTCCAGCTGTCCCAGGGCCGCGGGGACCGGTGCCGTCACTTCTCCACACCTCTCCTTCCCCCAACAGCCAGCTCCATCCCTCCAGCCCTTCCTGCAAGTCAACAGCTCTGCTCCTGACACTCAAAATCTCCAGATGTGAAACCAATGGGTGACTTTGTGCCCCAAAACTAGATTACAAGGGGAACTCATGAAGGCCTCAGTGATTCCCCTGCAAGTTTAACTGCCTGCTCTTAAGCAAATGAGGATTTGGGGTGATGAACACAGGCCTCAGCCTTGTTAGGCGTCTCTAACAAACAGCTGACAGCTCTTCCATCTCCTGGAGCAACTCTTCCTTTCCTGGAGATTTTCCAGCCAGATCCTTGCATGGTCCAACTGTGCTTAGCACACGCCGCCCTTCATGCCGGCAGCACTCAAGAAATTGGACCCAGCTCCTTGGTTGGAGGCAGCTTCCCTTGCTGTCTGCAGGGGACAGCCTCAGCTCCCAGTGAGCTGGGCCGAGCTGGGCCATGCTGGAGCTGGCTCTCCTGGCCGACACCATCCCTCGAGCTGCTTCAACAGCACCACCATACACCAGGTGAGAGAACTTCCTAGAGGAACGCTATGGCCAGGAGACATCCTTGTCCCCAGACCCACCCGGTGAAGACGGAGGCTGGGTGCAGACGGAGGCTGGGTGCAGAGTGCGGTGCGGGTCAGGCGGCAACCCTGCCAGCAGCCCGGCGACAGCCTGCGGTGCCATGGTCAGCTCAGCGGGTGCCCAGGCAGGTGGTGGCAGTGCGGAGGAGAAGGAGGGTGAAAAAGCATCAGCTTTTAAACCCAAGGGTTTGGCACCGCATGCACTTGGCTGCCGGGTGGTGGGGATGGTGTGGGTGGGTCTGTGTGTTCTGTCTTGTTCTATTTTTGCTTGCAATGTGTCATTTTGGGGGAGGTGAAACCTTTAACAATGCACCGTCAAGAAGCAGCCGATCTGTTTTCCGTTCCTAGGAGTGGCACCGCACGGCTGCACTGTCACTGGGACCGGAGCCGTTTCCCTGGCGCGGGGTCAGACCCCAGCAGCGGCGGGAGGTGGCCGAGACCCAAGGGGCAGTGGTGGTGTCACCAGGAGGTGCCGCTCGAGCGAGGCTGGCCCCGGCGCGCAGTCTGGATGCCCAAGGGCTGAGCCGCATGCCGGGCCCCCTATACAGATTTCTGAGCATTTCTTATTCTGGGATTTCCAGTTTCGTGGGCTGGTGATGCACGATGAGCCAAGCAATGTGGAAATGGCGACAGGGCGGACACTCGGCTGAACCCAGTTCTGTCCTCCGAGCACAACAGCTCCAGTACCAGCTCCGTAAAAGCACCGCCAGACACAAACCAAGAGCAGGAACCAAACGCCAAAGGGTTTGATTTAATGTTTTACACGAGGAGAAGTAGGGCAGCTCACCAAGTTCCTCGTTACTGAGGATTTTTGGTGCAAGAATGCAAAAGTTGAGGAACGGATACAGCAGCATGGGAGCAGCCATCCTTCAGCCTGATGCTGCCGGCTGAGGGGGGAGCAGAGGTGGGCGAGCTTCATGGGAAGGAGCTGATATGGGCCTAATCCCAGTGGACTCTTTTTCTCCACAAAAAGAAGGAAAAAATCCCAAGGATTTTCAGAATTGCTCAAGGAAACCAATCCTCTTTGCCTGGAGCATCTCAGCGTTTTGGCCCAGGATCTATCTCTCTCAGGACCCAGGACGATGCAAGTGCAGGACACCTGGGTTTTGGGGAGTCAGTGATGCCATCCCAATGGCTCCACGTCCACTGCCGCTGGGACTGGGGCCCACCTCAGCCAGCGCTGGCTCTTGGGCTGAGCAGACACTGAGCTGAGGGGGGGGTCTGCACCCCGCCACTGGCCGGTATGGCAGGTACCCTCAATCACTTGGAATTCACAGAAAGCTTCTTCTGGAGCCGGCACTGCTGCTTGCTCTTAGTCAAGGTGAATTATTTAGGCAGTTTTAAGGAAAATGTGTCAAGCCCGTTAAGTGATGCAGATGTGGAGGTGGGTGGAGAAGAGAAACAACCTCAATAGCTGAAGCTGGGCAAGCAGGACTGGCCA